ACCGGCCTCTCTCGTAGTGTCTCCGTCTAATCCGACGCTAGAAACGGACTCCGGTGGCCGCGTAGATGCTCTAGTCCGGAGGAATCGAACCCTAGTCGCGTCGTTGCCGTTTCCCTCTTTTCTCGCCGCCAGTTGCCGCCGCCGCAATCCGCCGCCGTCGAACTCCCTCCAGCGAATCCGAGCCGTTGGCTCATCTCCCCTCGTCTCGTGCAACCACCCGGTGTGCTCGCTTTCGCCTGTATCGCCGTGGTTCGCCCCGCCGTTCGCAGCTGCCGTCCGCCGTCCGTTCCGGCCGGCACCTTCTTCAACCTTCCGCCGGCCCGCGTGGCAGCCACGTAGGCGCCACGTCGGCGCCAGCTCGGCCAAGACCGGGTCAAGCCGACCCCGGTCCGCCGCTCCCCTCTGCCCCGCTCGTGCGCGCGGTCCACCGCGAGCCGTGAGGCTGCGCGTGGGCCCGCCGCATCCGCACCCACCGCGAGCCGCGCGCGTGCACCGCGCCCCGCTCCAAACCCTAGCGCCGCGTCGCGTGCTCCTTGCTCACGGTGAGCCGAGCCGCCGACAAGCGGGTCCCACTCGGGACCACGCGAGATGGACCCGGCCCACCGGCTCCCTCTCTCCTCCCCTCCCGCGCGTGCCTTGGGCCGTCTTCTCGGGCCGGCCGGCCCATTAAGCTCAGCCGAGCCGCCCCTTTCTCTCAGGCCGCGCCCTAGCCGCCTGAGGGAAGTCTGTTTCTCCTCCCTCTTTCTTTTCTTTTTCGAAAGGGTTTAATTAAATCCTTTTTCCTTTAGACCAAAAATCCGATAATCTTAGAAATTCAATATCTTCTCAACCGTATGTCCGTTTGACTCCGTTCAACTTCCAAAATTCCTCAAATCTCGAGATCTATTTAATGGCACGTTTAGAGGTCAATAATAGGGCTTTATTTTCTCCGTTTGTTGGGTTGTCCCGTTTCGCGTGTAGTTTCGGAGCCCGAAGACCCGCAGTGCGAGGATTTCGAGGATCAAGCTCAAGATCTCGAGCAAGGCAAGTCACCTTTAATTATCTTGCACCTATAATTTAAATCTAAGTACTTGTTTTCCGCAAATATTGCATGAATAAGTTTAACACAAGTATTTCGGCCACGGCTTGCGAGATAGCCTGCCGGCTCCAATCCTAATTGCTGCAATTACCCTCCTTGAATTATTGAACACTTAAACCACCTTTGTCAACTGTTGTGCTTCGATGCACGGGCCTACAGGCACGCGCATCGGAACACCTCCCCTCAAATTTAAAACATCCAACGATGGGTAAAACTTGGGGTTTTACAAAAGACTTGGAAAACCCGACACCTGGGTCGGTGCTTGCGAACATGAATTTCCAAAATCGCGGACCGGGGGACGTGCCGGGAGTACGGTTTCCCGCTCTTGCACTTAAGGACCGTTTCCTTGGAATTTCATCCGAACATAAGGCAAGTGCGACCACATGGGTGGAATGGGACACCCCTGGCTGAGTAACTAGCTAATCGGAGGAACCATGATGCCAAGAGACATGTGGATTCAACGGGGTGGTGCCGGGGAGAACCCCCGGGCTTCCTGGCACAGTATGGTCTGGGACCTAACCTGATGTCGGTCTGGGACCCCTCTCGTTGGCATATGGTGAACCTGTGTCGGCTTTCGAAATGCCTTGTCATGAAAGCCTCAAGGCCTCCAGACGTAGCCGTTCTGCATGGGCTGGGTGATCCGGGTTAGTAATGTCGTCTGGGTAAAGTGTACCCCCTCTACAGAGGTTATTAAACTGTTTGAACAGCTGTGCCCACGGTCATGGGCGGATGTGAGGTGATTCCTAGCGTAGTTTGACTACTGCTTGTGAAATTACTGTTGTGGAATGGGTTCGATGTTTGGAAAATCTGCGGCTGATGGGATCAGCCAGGCCCGGTGGCCGTTTGAAAGCCGTTGGCCGGGTGCCAACCTTGAATCAATTCAAAGATTGATACATTGCACATACTCCGACCGGACGAGATGCACTGTCTCATCCGTGTCGTTTGAGAAGCACTCACTTAGTTGTTTCAAAAAGGAGTTTAAATAAAACCAATTGCAAAAACAACAGCCTTTCCTTTGAAGCCTGCATTAAACACTTAATTCCCATGGCTTGCTGAGTACTCCTGTACTCACCCTTGCTCTATATAAATAAATCCCCCTCCCCAGTTGCTGAAGAAGATGATGTGGATCCTGCTGATGAGGAGTTCTTCCAGTAGCAAGTTGGCTACGATGAGTTTTAGGGTTTCGGCCTAGTTCCCAAGTCGCGCCTGTGATGAATGGTCCAAGTCTTGGCTTCCGCTTTCCCTATTGTAATGCAGTTGTGAGCTCGGGATCTGTCCGCAGCCCAACATGACTGTACTCCTACTCTGTAATAAAGAGACCTCTGTTGCCGTGATATTCCTCTGTTGCCGTGATATTCTGTCTTCCTGTGATACCAGCACTGTTTCCTGGGACTGGTATCGATTAACAGGTTAATTTGGAGCGTCACGGGCTAGTTCCGTTCGGGGCTAGTTCGGGGAGTGACAATAATAATTGATGTTTTAGACAAGGTTAAGGCCAAACTTTTATAACTTTGACCATCAATAACTTTAAAAATATTTAGTTTAAAGAAACTATAACAACATATGTAGATTTGTCTTTCAAAGCACTATAATAAAAGTAAACATGCATTTATTTATTGCATATATTATAATATAAAAATAAGGTTAAATATATATTTTGTAGACCGTGTCATTGTCTAAAACGTCAATTCAAATGAAACCGGAGGAAGTATATCCTAAACAAATGATACATGCAAATCATTAAGTGTTGATCTAATAGTTGAAAACTGAGTAAACTAAATTAAAAAATAGACTCCTTTCTCATTAAATATATGCAAGTCCCAAAAAACTGTTCAACCGACATTAATTCATGTGGCAGAAAAAAGAAAGTTCCCAACTCATGCATGTGCACTTCCATTAACTATTAAGTCAAACTAAATATAGCCTAGAATACAAACTAAGTGCAGGTCCTGGAATCAACTATAACATTCTAAGGCTTTATTTTCTAAGAAAAAGTTGTTGGGTGCATGTGACGGGCTGAAGAAGAAAAGGCCAAGAGTCAAATTTGCACGTCTATCTAGTTAATTTGCTTTGCAAGTTGCAACAACCAGAATGATTTTAGATGTTGTACATTGTACTTTGAGGATGCAGATTTGCACCCAATTGAGATGAACATGCATGTTAGTTCTAGATTTTTCCGGGTGGCGTTTATGTGCATACTCCCCGATTATTTTGGCCAAAATCAAGATTAACTCTTTAATTTAGTCACCCCAAGAAATTGAAGTTTTATACGTATTCTATTTCAATGTGGTTATAAGCAAACAAAACACATATATTAGAGTGTATTTAATTTCAATGCTCAACCAAGGGTATGGATCGGGACCTCTTGGCCCAGGTACCCGGCCCTAAGCTAGCCTGAGACATAAATTTAAAGCCCATTTGTGCTAAACGATATTTTTTCTCCGAGTTAATCCAACTGGGCTGGAGACTGGCCCTTAGCCCAGGGGCCAGGGCTGGTCAACCTTGTCCACCTTAATTTACCATTTACCTTTAGGTCCATCCTCTCAAAACAAAGGTCCAAATGGTCATGAAATATTGTTAGATAATTTTATAGTAACATGCATGACACACACAACATCTAGATCTAGCCATATTATAAAATTTTGAATCTAAATGAATTTTAGGGAGTACAAGGGAATAGTGAAAAATTTTACTAGAGATAAATTCAAAAAATATTCAATTGTTCATTGAAATTTGTCTTTTCGTCCTGTTTAAAAAAAGTATTTTATGTTTGGTCCCTAATTACGTAGGCTGATCTTTGCCAACAAACAGTTTGTTGATGGTTTTTTTCTAACAGTACCTGTTGTAACTGCAAATTGTGCGACAGATGAATGGCACCTATAATTTTTTTTTTTTACCGACAGACTACAGCCTGCTTTCCGATGTTGTGGTGCAGTGTAGTGATTAAATCGAAATATTAGAGCCAGGAACAGGGCCAACTTAAGGTTAGCTGGAGAGATCGTTAATAGTAATTTATTGCCGGAGAAAATACAAGAAAGGTTTGCCACCCCATGCATATGTCAGTGAATTGTCAGCAGTAAATATTCTTGACTTGCAGATTAACATTTCACTGGCAAATATCCATTCGTAGATATATAGCTTTTTATCTCATGATGAGAAACTTTGTACTACTGCGCGCTGCGGTAATAAAATAGAAGGAAAGGAAAAAAAAGGAAAAGATCAGAGCTGATCCGAAACGTCTCCAACTACTTGTCTTGTTCGTGAACCCTTATATCCTAAACCAGACAAATCAAGGAGAAGCGCTTAAGCCATGTGGTTGGTGCGGTTTGTTGGATGGATTCTGTCCCAGCATGTGAGCATGTTTTCATGGCTTCAACTTGTATTATTTTGTGTCCACACATTTAAACATCTATGCTTCTTTTTCATCATTAACACCTTAATTTATGGCTAAAGAGACAATCCATCTAACTGCTCTCTGTGACATCCCCTTCTTTATAGTTAGATGGGTGAAGCATAACATGCTTTTTTTTTACAAGTTCAAATTCAATACTTGATCGAATTGACACCGTATGACCATCTAGCTACATTCATAGATAGTGCACATGCTTTCCAGCAAGAATTTGTAGTAGTTTGTTTGAGAGTTCAAACAAGACTACATATTGTCATGATTCATTGATTCATGAACATAAAGAATGGAGGTTTTCCTGAAAAATATTTGAAGAAGACACATTATCCTCACAAAAAGTGGAGATTCTGAGTCTAAGCTCCAGATTCCAACATATTGATCATATTATATGGTTGAAACAATGGTTTTGCGTGGTCTCAGGCATGGATATATATATTAGGCCGCGTCGATCTGTTGCCAACATAACATATGAATAGTTGTTTCGAAACCTATGTATAAACTACAAAGGCACCATCGTGATTAATTAACATCGCAGTTAATTATATTTTTATTATATCCAGATTTGTATGATTAACTTATGTAACAGATTAACATGGCTGAGAAATTACAGAGAACAAATTACAACAAATGGAAATCAAAAGAATGGATGTGTGAAAGCCAAATCAATCTACTACAAGCATAGTCGTCGTTGATCATCGTCTCTGTGTGGTCGTCTTGTGTCCATGCATGCAATGCATTTAGTACAAGTGGTTGATGGCGCTGCACTTCTTCCTGATCTCCCCCTTGCTCCCCTCCGGCATGGGCAGCTGGCTGAGCTTGAGCAGCGAGTCGGAGAAGTCGGAGTCCCAAAGGGTGGCATTGTCGGCGTACTCGTGGACCTTGGAGAGCGACGTGGCGTCCGTGAGCAGCTGCCAGTCGGAGTGGAAGGTGACGATCTTGGCGAGGTTGTTGTGGTAGTAGGTGTTGTCGAGGAAGTCGCTGATCTTGCGGACGCGGCTGACGAAGCCCGGCATGAACCTGGCGACGACGGAGGCGTCCTCGTCGCGGACGTTGTTGACGACGTCCGGGTTGGCGGCCTGGGAGCACTTGTAGTTGAGGAGGTCGCGGTACGCCGGGGTGATCTGCTGCGGCGGCTCGGAGAGGCGGCCGGTGAAGGAGGAGCAGTGGCCCTGGCCGATGGAGTGCGCGCCGGAGAGGATGACCAGCTGCTCGGTGTCGAAGCCCTTGGCGGCGAAGTTGTCCTTGAGCTGCTGCACGGTCATGGTGGAGTCCGGGAGCTCCGCCTGGGCCTCGTCGGCCCTGGAGACGACGCCGTCGAGGCGGCCCGCGGGGACGTCGAAGTGGACGTGGCCGTTGCTGAGGATGCTGCCGGCGTCGCGCGCCGCGTAGATGAGGATGTCGGAGCAGGACACCACGCCGGGGCACCGCTTCTCCACGGCCGCCTTGATCTCCTCCAGGAGGTCGAACGCCGCCAGCCCGATGTTCACCGGCGCCTCCTTCTCCGGGTGTGGGTTCTCGTACGACTTGTCCAGCAGGACTGACCCATCGCAACCCTGCATACATAAATACATAATTGCATTAATCCACAATGCTTGAAAGTTGGAACTAAGCTATGTAAGTAGCTAGATCAGTTGAGATGATCATCTAGCTTCTCCACATGTACTTCCTCCGTTTCAAAATATATAGCTGAGGTTAATTTATTTTTAACTAACAAACGTTACGAAAAAGAAACAGAAATAGTAGTAGTAATGATATTTTATGTACCCTGACGAAGCAGTCGTGGAAGAGGAGGCGGACTAGGGCAGCGCCGGTGCGGCGGTTCTGCTTGAGAGCCTTGATGACGTGCCACTTGATCACGTTCTCGACGCCCTTGCACTTCTTGTGGTAGTACCCGACCTTGAGCTCGCTGGCCGCGGCCGCCGATCCGGCGAGGAGCAGCGCCGCCGCCTGCACGGCGACGAGGGCGCAGAGGATGGCCACCGACAGCCTCATGTTTCCCCCAAAAGCTTATGTGACCAAGCAACCGGTCCTGTAGAGGAAAGCGGCTTGAGAGAGGTGCTTGAGCTGCGAGCTGGTGATGGCAAAGCTGAAGGTTTGGATGGGGTATATATTGCCGGGTTCGGACAAGTATTTCGGGTTTTTTAACGGCCATATGATTACTGTTCTGATGACAGCGAGAGGCCAACGCGCGAGCTGGACACACACGGCAATTGACAAGTTCGATTTGATAATTGATATAGTATCATGTACTACTACTGCATAATATCGATCCTATAATGTGCTTGCACAAGCTGGCCGTTGCTGTTGATATGATCGTGATATATATATCAATTAATATATAGAGAGGCATTATACGCCAGGCTGCACAGCCAATTATCGTTGTGTAGAATACGAGACTTTCCTGAGCCCTTCCCCTCTCGCACTAGCCATGGTACGGGGGACATATACTACATTAATTGCTAACCAGGATGCATAATTATATATATATATATATATGTATGCCAATATGGTGGCTAACAACCGTATATAGTTCTCTATGGTTTCTGTAGTCTCAATGAAGAAGAGTAGACATATAATTGTACTGGTGTGGCTGATCAGCTGGACCATAGATTTCGCAATCGGACAGCAGTTTAGTCAGGTTAGTACATGATGTATATCCTTAATTATAGTATGCACCTAACATTCAAGAATCCTCAGCCTGAAGCTAGCTACGAGTGTACTGTTTGCTACTTTGTTTCTTTTGTTCAAGGAGAGATGAAATTAAGGGCATGTGCACGTCTTGCATTGTTGAATGTCGTATATATGCTGCAGAATTAAATCGCTCAGGCTTCAGAATGGAGTACTATAGTACTCCTAGTAGCATGTCACATCTCAGTCAGTTAGCTAGGTCGTTCCATCGATCCATCCGTGATGTCTGGGACGACTCACCTCTCTCGGTCTTCGAAGACCAAGATCCAGTGAGTGCTAATTCTGCAGGGTTAGTTACAGTACATGCTGGCATGCATGACTTTATTATTGTATATATAAAGCGTTGCAAAAAATGCCACTTGTGTTTCGTCAGAGCGTACGGGAAAAGAGACGTTGAGATATACTATATTATAGCACTGAATTTTCACCAACTCTGCCTGCCAATGGCGGTCATAACCTACCAGATGATAAAATTAAACGAAATAACCTTCTTCAACTGATCGAAATGTACTACCCCGATGTAATACTGTTAATTAGGAGTACTAGCTTGTTAGCTCTACGATCAGAAGTACGGCACTGATGCAAATCTCTTTCAGAATCATAAATTGCCGGATGTTGTCTGCATCAGAAGAAGTAATGAAGTTCATATAAATCGAGCAGCAATGAGACAGCTAGCTGTGAGGTATGCATACAGTAGTTAATTAACCCACAAATTATATACTAAACTTTTCAGGATTCAGCAAGGGCAAGGATTTCTAATTAACGAAGCATCATTAGCACTCTGTATATGCTAATCGATTCTTTAAATATTAGCTAATGCATGCCATAAAGAGAATAAATTAAATACTACCCTGATCAGTAGTATATGATAATGTTAACATTTAGATATATGTTTAAATTTTTAGATATATGTTTAAATATTCGTCTTATTAAAAATTTTATGCAAATATGATAAATTAATATACGTTATAGTTAAAACAAGGAAAAAAAGAGTGAATTGCAATTTAGACCATATTTTATTATCTAAGTTTCACTTTGGACTAATCTTAAACCAATATTTTCACTTTGTATCGAGTATTTGGACCACCCTAAATAATTTCTTCAGCACCCATCAACAATCTCAATCAAATTGGTTTCGATATATCAGTGAACTTCCCATCTATATGCAGGTCATATCTTCACCAGAATAGAGGGTAAACATGAAAAGAAAAGAGAGTTAGGTGGTCCAAATCGAAAATATGGCAAAGTCAACTGGTCTAAAGTGAAAAGATTAGTTTAGGGTGGTCCAAAATGAAACTTTAGCAATAAAAGGTGGCCTAAACTACAATTTACTCATAAATAATAATTTCATCCTCTGTTCCAAAATACTATAAGAATTTATAGGATTCAGAATTTGCACCAAAATATAAGCATCTCTAGAGCATTAATTCCAGTGCATGGAAATTTAAACATTACCAACTAACGTGATACTACGGAAGGGAATTCAACCAATTTAAAATTGAGTAATTTTTTTTTAAAAAAAAGTTTTTATGGTCAAAGTTGCAAAAAAAAAACCACATGTATTTTTATGTATGACACATAACCACTGTTTTTGTGATCTCAATGTTTCACAAAACCTCATCTTTATTAAAATTCAGCATATCTTAAATAAATTTTTGAAAGTAGTGAAGAATTAAACTATCAATCATAGTCAAGAATTATATAATAAAAATTCATATACACTCTATGTTTTTTAATTCTATGTAAATTTACGCTCAAAATACATAAGGGTAAGGTTTTGTGAAATTTAAAACCATAATACTTGACGTTAATGCCATGTGCCATAATATTTGTGGTTTAACCATAAAACATGGGCTTTTCCGAAATTTACTAAATAAAAATTAAAAAGACGACTAGTGAAGTGACTATCAGAGAATATTTCTAATCTAATTTAGATTTTTGCTAAAGAACTAAAAATCTTATAGTTTAGGATTGATGAGTAATTTTTTGAATAGGACCAATGGCCATGTATTCCAAAAGTAAAATAGCGTCATATATGAAGAAACGGAGGGGGTAAAATTCTCACAATGAGGCAGAATGTGTCCTGTGTGATCATCTCAAACTCTTATAATTATGACTAATCCACAGCTAGCGATGCTATTTTTAAAATTAAAAGGCGGGCAATCCTAATCCTAATTATATTAATTTTGATCCTCTCGATCTGATAATTAATTATCACTAATCCGCAGCTAGCTATATATATGTACACATGCTATTTTCTGTTTATATCAAAAGGGTAATTACTATCCTACTTAATTAAAAACAGTATATACTACGACTGTTGATTAGACATAATCCAAGTCAAAACAATTGTATATATATGAGATGTGGAAGATTCAGACGAACAATATACCAATGGATGTGGCCACTGCTACAGATTCTATTTTTGCTTACGGCCCAAATCGATTTTTGCGTGTGGACGGATCTGATTTTCCCATGCGGGTGCTTAAGCCGATCGCATGCGAAAAGAAAAAATCGTGAAAAAAAATTCCACAAATTGTAAATACGCTGTTGTCCTCATCCTCCCATCGCTACCGTCGTCGACGTCATTCCTCTTGTCGCCATCGCTGTCCTCGTCCTCCTGACGCCACCATCGATACATCCTCCCTCGTCGCCGCCACCTCCTCCTCCTCCCGTCATCACGGCCGAATCGGGGCAAGGGAGGGCCGCTGTCATCCTCCTGCCACCACCGTCCACGTCTTCCTCCTCCCGTCGCCACCGTTGTTGTCCTTCTCCTCCTCCCATCGTCGCCACCAGATCCAGGCTGGAAAGGGTCACCACTGCCGGATCCGGCCGGGGGAGGGCCTCCACCGTCGCGCACGCCCGCCGCCACAACCGGAGTCCGCGACTACCGCCCTCGCACTCCACTGACGAGCCATGCGAGGCAGCACCGCTCCCGGCAGCACCATGTGGCACCTGGCGCTTCTCTTTTACTGGTCGGTGAGAAAAAAGTGGAGAGGAGAGGAAGACAAAGAGAGGGAGAGGAGAGGAATTGGAAAAGTTTGAAATGTTGAGAGGGAAAAGAGATAGGAGAGGATAAAATATCTATGGATAAAATGAACATATATTCCGCATGCGAAAAATTATTTTTGCATGCGGCCCCTTAAGATGTCCGCCTGTAAAAATATGCTCATTTTCCCATGCGGCCTTTTAAGTAGTCCGTTTGCGAAAATTGATTTTTACATGCGGATCTCTTAAGGAGCCATATGTGAAAATTAAAGTCGATTTTTGCAGAAGCCATCACTTAATGGGGTCTCATATAGAAAAATTACTTTTTAGTAGTTGGCATAGATATCTGTGTGTGTGTATATTTGAGATATAGTACAAACTACAAACATAGTTGCACCTCTAAATATACACACACATCTCTATAAAAACACATGCATACCTTACATATATTGAACACCTTTAAAAAGTTGGGTGAGATATCTTAAGATTAACGAAGTCATCAGCTGGGTCTCACTGTCGATGGATAGTATACATCATTGATCATTTACCACCAAAATAATAAATAACTAAAAATACGAACTTCCGTGTTAAAATCAGGACTCTGCATATTTGTTTGGTTTAATTAATTAAGTACGTTCTACAATCTCAAGAAGACATTTTCAAACGGGGCAACGTGTCAGTGCAATCGTAAAACGTAACATAATTGCCAAATAAATGAATAATGGCTAGTATATATTTACACCTGAGGACGTGTATGTCATGTGTAACACTGGTAATTAAATTAACGTCATGTTGTTATTTGTTATTTCTTGAGAAACCCAATCTCAATTTGTTGATATTATAATGATGAAGGGTACGGTTCAACTTATTTCGAATCTTGTTCACCTGCAAAACAGAACTTATTTTTTCTCATGACCTGGTCACGTCATTTACAACAAACATATATATGGTCACAGAAGAACATCTCAGGCTATATTAGGTTAAACTGCCTCAATATATACATGTTCGGTAATGACAAATACAAGCTCTTTCCGTTGGATTTAAATCATATCTTTATCGAAAATAAACCTCGAGCTAGCTAGATAATCTTTTACAATGCCGCTGACAGGTCACCAATCTCTTCACGAGCTATGTTTATTATATATATATAGTTATCATCTAACTACCGTAAGTTGGTGTATCAATAGTTTATCATCAGCTGCCTCCTGCCTGGATACATGTACATTGTCCTATCTGCTTTGTTCAAGTACTTTCCTAACAAAATATTTTTTTTTGTGTAAGTTGCATTGTTATCCGTGAAAGAACTTTATTAGTTGCAAGGAAGGATACATGTGCTGATCGATGTGTAAGTTCACCCTCAACAGAAAAAAATACACACGTGAATATACTATATATAAGATGAGTACAACAATATAATA